CCCCAAAACCCCAAAACCCCAAAACCCCGGGAATGGCAGGGATTATAGAAATTTTGGAATAAAATTTATCATGGAAAAGAGGAGTATAATGAGTTTTGGGCCTTCTAAAGCGAATTATCTGGGGTTACAGAGCTATCCGTTGAGTGATAATAAGAGTAATTATAGAGAGTTTAAGTCTGGAAAGAAAATTAAGAGCATTCTGAAAAGTTTCCCGCTTGTTGTCGAGAAGTCAGCAAGAGGAGATCATTCCAATAATACAAGAAAATTCAATATTTCTTCAGAGAATGCTAATAATAACAATCAAAGCCTTCCCAAGAAAGCGAATAAGATAGAAAAGATGAGAAGTCATTCTCCAGAGATAGAGAGAACCTTGAGGTACCAAAAAGATTCAAGAAGTCCAAAGAATCATAAATAAGGTAGCTGAGAGAAAAATAGAACAAAACTTGAGCATCCATCAAACTCCGAAGAACATCATTCTCTCGAAGCATGTTTTGCCTGAACTTGAAAGAGGATTTGAAGTAAAATAATAAATTCCAAGTGAATCCTCACTTACGAATCAAGGAGAGAATGAACGAAACTGAGAACACCCATAATCGAGCACTAGAGTCAAACTACAGTGAAAATGGAGCTTGGCTAGATAGTAAATTCACTGACAAAAGATATCGAGAACTATTGGCCATCAAACCTGAAATTAGAGAGAATATTAGCTCACAGAGAAAATCTGGGGTTAATGTTTTTAGCACTGCGAATTCTGGTAAATAAAATCAATGATTTCATTTTAATCGGAAAAATAAAAAATATGGATTTTCCTAAATCTGCACAAAAGAAGCCTCATAATTATGTAAAAACTCGAATGAAAGAAAATCATGAGAAATTTCGATATGATTACAATGATACTCTACAAACCTCCATGGAAAGTTTAGAGAATCCTGAACACCTTGAAGAGTCTCCGAGCAGACCTATGGTCAAGATGCTCCTTGAGAGAACTCATAATGGACGGATCTTGACTAAATTTACCTATAACAATGAGCATGATAAAGATTTCCAAGGAAATGATTACTCATGACCTTTTGAAGAAAAGGCCAGTAATCTTGGAACTATTTCTGAAGTCAAAAATAGACTCAAAAAGAACTATAACTTTTCGAAATATTACCATTCTGCTACTAAAGGAATCCACCAACACCATGGCTCAAAACACAACAATAATTTTAACAAAGACAACTATAATTCAAGTGAGGAAGACAGGTCTAAAACTTCAAGCAGCCAGTACGAAGAGCATGGTCTTGGAAATTATCAAGAAAAATAACAGAAGAGTGCATCAGAGTTATCTTGAAGGACATAGCCTAAACCAAGACATCAACTCTAACAGTTTCGAAAGTAAATATAGTAGTCACAAGAAGATCCATGTCAGTAAAAATCATGGAGATTTCAGACTCAGTTTGACTAAGAAGGTAAGATATTGTTTCAAAGTGCAAATTATGCCTCTTCTGGTCTTTAGAATCTTATCTGAAATGTATCGCATCCTAACTTTGTATAGAGCAAAAACAACTTAAGATATGGTCAGAAAAATATGATACACTCAACTCCTAGAAAAAGTCAGATAAATCTGTTGAAGAAAGTTAATTCAATGGGGGATAATTTTACAAAGAGCAACTTCAAGTCATTGAAAACTTTGCAGGGAAAACTTCAGTCTGACACTAATCTTGGTTCTCTTTCAAAAAGCCAAGCTATAGAAAACTCGTTTATTAGCAATCATAGAGTAAAGGCCGAAAGAGCTAGAAAAATCTTTTTGAGAAATAACCAATCAATATAAAAAGAATTAAGATGAAAGAGAATTATGTTCAACCTCACATAAGCAACAAAAGCTTACGCTCTCTTGTTGAGATGGATATTGGAAAGAAGAAATCTGAACAGAGCAGCCTCCCTCAACTTAGAAGGATCAATAACGATTCAGAAATGAAGGAGATGATCTTAAAACTGTCTTATAGTCTGGTAAAGATGAAAAACTCTCATAATTCAACTAAGTTCAACAGCAGGAAAAGAAATATTTCTATCTTAAAGAAAGTTATAAGAACTAAAAACTCCCAGCTGCCTAGTGGCTTTAAAGATTATAGTACAAATTTGGGTAATAGTTATGATTTCTCAAGAAATTTATCTTCAGACAAAGTAGCTCAAACCAAAAGTAGAAGTGAAGATATTATCAGCTATGGTGATAATATGATTTCCTCCGAGCCATCCGATCAATTTCTTCACAACACAGGTGGTAAATCGTCTGTACAGAAAGCTTTGAAATACTTCATTAGCCAGAAAATGAAAGGAAATCATCCAATCGATTACACCAAGTATTTTTGGATTAACAATGACAAGTATATTAGCAAGTTTACACCTTTATAAATGTTTCAATAGTGCTCTTATATCTCGGGGTTTTGGGGTTTTGGGGTTTTGGGGTTTTGGGG